TGCCTCAACTTCTTGTGAATCCTCATTCCTGCATTTGTTTTTCCTATTTCATCGAACTATAAAAACTGGGGTGGTTGCACCTTATTGTTGTTGGTGTTGTAATGTGTATGTGTGGCTGAGTGTTTAGGATATCTCCTTTCTGACCATAAGACTCCGCGTTTGAATTTCACTATAGGTGATTTGTCAGAGAGGTAACTTCTTGATAATATTGACATGGGATGGCAATCTCAGCAGTATTTTGGAAAATGCCTGAAAACCATGCCACGGGTTAATCCAAGTCTTGTGAGTGAAATTGAGTACACAGAATTCTTTGGCAAGCCATCAATTGTTATGCTAGCACAAAGTCAAAAGTCATTGTGACTGAGGGTTTGAATGTACTGTCCTTGTTCCAAAAATTGATCACGCCAAATTATGTGCTTTCTCTCGTAGAAAATGTAAGTAAGGTCTGCTCAGCATGGTTGAAGTATAAACCAGAGATGGTTTTGTGGGTCGAGTAGACATCTGTAATAGGGTTTGGCGAGCCACCCTAACAGGTAGCAGCAGTCCATGTTGGGGTTGTGTTTGGGGGGGGGGGTAGTTTTTTTTTTTAAAAAAATTTTTATTTTTATTTTTTTTTAATAATTTGAATTTGATGTTTGTCTTACTCCTTTGAGCATCTGCCATTTTTCCTTATACTTTTCCTTCCCCATCATTTTTTCCTTTTTTTTTTAATATGCAGTATATTAAAATGTTTTTTTTTGTGTTTTTTTTCATATTTTACAAAATAGTTCTTTCCTAGTTAATTCAGTAAAATAAGAAAAAAATGAAGATGTCAATGCATTTTATCTAAATTAAAACCAAAATAAGACTTCATATTCTTTTCTATATTTTTTTAATACTTTCAGAATCCTCAAGTAAAATGCAAAACATTAATTTTCTTAAATTTACTGGTTTCAAGCCAATTAACAATTAGATTTTGATTGTATTACATATCCAAGTCTAAAAATAATTCCTTTTTCCAGGCGATATTATCTTGCATGAAACAACATCCTAAAGATTGGCATGTTCAGATATCTGGCAGGTAAGTACTATTGCACTTATCATGGACAAATACCATGGCAATTTCCATGGATTAGGTAAATAATAGTCTAGAAGTTTTATATATCCAAAGAATTTATTTTTAATATGACATTTTTATTACTTCAAATGTGGAATATCCATTATAATAAGATTATATATAATAAATGCAAATGTGTGTGTGTGACACTTTCAACTTTACTGCTAAAGTCCATAGTCCAACATGTCATATTTTGGAATCAGGCCAACTCTATGAGCAAATTAAAAATGTTCCAGGCTTGCAATCCTGAAATTTTGGATAAGTTTTCATGACTGTGATTATTTTCGGCAATTCTTTTTTATATGATTTTTTTTGAAACAAAGTTTTTCGTACGGTGACAATTTTTATAATTTGGAAATAAATTTGTTAATAATTAAAATTAATTTTGAAATCCAGTAAGGGTCACCCATAAAATAAAGATGGTTGTTTGTATGGAAAATAATGACGTACATACATCAAATTGTCTTTAAATGAAGTGGCAGCAGGAGAATTATTGTTGAACTTTTTAAAAGGTAAGCTTAAATATTAATGCAATACTTAAATGCAGCGATCAATTTTGAGTTCTTCTGTAGTTTATCGTTGCCTATTCCATCTACTTCTCCCTACCTTTTCCGTCCTGGGTATGATGGTAAACTACATCTGGGTCCTGGGTAAGACGATAAACTCCATCCAACAGCAAGGCCTCTGATCAGGAGGTTTTGAGGAATGTGGAACCACCTCTTAATGGCTGATGTTCCCAGGTTCACCCTGACCTGGGGTGGTAGCACCTGTTAGGGTCCCAGCTATGGGCAAATAGTTGACACCCAAACTGGGGTCAAAACACTATGAAAGTCTAAAAATAGGTTTTAATACATACCAGAAATACTTTGTAAAAAAAAAAAAAAAAAAGTAATTATTACCAGCAATATATTTTTAGGGAAAAAAAGATATTACCAATTATAATTTATTTTGAAAGGAAATATTACCAGCAATAAAAAAATTTGTCGGCATTAAATAACCCATTGAGGTTGATATGCTTCAAAACAAACCAAACCAAATCTCTCTACCTTTTATGAAGAAGGTCCAATCAAGAGCCCTGCACAGGGGCTAGCTTAAAATGTTGCCCAATAGGAGGGCAGCTTTTAAACTTATATACAATATTTATTATTATTGTACAGACATAAAGCCATTAACCATAAATAAGATCTACTAGACAGACACACACTCTTAGGAATACACATTATCATCTTAATCCACCCAAATGATAGGATAAAGAACAAAAAGGAAACGTTTATCAATCTAACATGTTTCACTTTTATTTAAGCTTCACCTATCTATCTATTTATCTATCTATCTATCTATCTATGAGTTGGGATCAAATACAGATCAAATATGGATTGGAATCTGACAGAATGATGGGATAAAGAACAAATAGGAAACATTTATCAATCTAACATGTTTCACTTTCATTAAAGCTTCAGAGTCGAAGAATTAGATATGGAGAAAAAAAAAGATTTTCTGGTATTTTAGGTTGGTATAAATAATTGTTGAAAATACTTAAGGGAATCCCGATAAATATTTACCCAACTATAAACACCTGTCAAAAACATTATTATATCAGTTCAATTCAGTTATGTGCTATACATGATACACGCTTAGGCGATCATGTATTTTTCGATACATGACTGACAAGGCAGATTTTTTTTCCCGCAGTAGGTTGCCATTTCTTTCTGCGGTAGACCAGTTGCCATCCAAGGCTATAGAACCTGGTCTGCGCTGCTATTTACCCATAGCTGGGGCGGGGGAGAAGAAAAGGATTCATACCTTTCCAAAGGGTATTAGAATGTAAGTGAATGTAATGGATTCGACTGGAATTCGAACTCGGTGCTCTGATTCCTCAATCCGAGCGGCTATCCATTACTCCACTATATCACCAACCTTTTATTAAATCCTTAAAGAATTTAATGTTTTTATCTATCATATCTAGTGTTTACATAAAAAAACATCCTCAAATCAATATGCAGACAATCGCAAAACATAAATGTCTATTGGACACACACACACACACACATTCTCTCTCTCTCTCTCTCTCTATATATATATATATATATATATATATATATATATATATTTATTATCATCTGAATTCCACAAAGGAGACAAACTAGAAATCTGATACACTTACATATAAAGCAATATTTACATTTTTTTCAGCTATGCTTGGAATCCAAGTTTTTTTTTAAGCTTTGAAAGGACGTGTTCTCTCTCCTTGAGTTTGGAATGCCTTAAATTATACTAATGTTGCTTAACAAGTCTGTGAAGCCTGATTAACCAATTGGAATCAAACACAAAAATAAAAATACGAACATTTTTTTTTTTTCCTCTATATCACATTCTATGATGAAGCTTTAATAAAAGTAAAACATGTTAGATTGATAAATGTTTCCTATATTTGTTTTTTATCTTATCATTTTGTCAGTTACAATCCACTTCAAAATTCTGCGTACACACACACACACACACACACACACACACACACACACTGCTTATAGATCTTTTTAGACTGGCGCCTGAAACCTGTCTAATCTTTTTAGACTGGAGTCTGAAACTTGCATCTGGTACATTGCTAACCAGTTAAATAATGTCAAAGACAGATGGGTTCTTGATAAATTAACATCATTTTACAGTTGAAATAGCTAGATGTAACCATAAATTTTATGCTAACAGCTTCCATACTTCTCACTTGTGGAACACTTTTCTGGCTTCTTGCTTCCCACATGTCCTGGGTAAGATGATGAACTACATCCAGCAGCAAGGCCTCTGATCAGGAGGTTTTGAGGAACATGGAACCACCTCTTAATTGCTGGTGTTCCCAGATCCACCCTGACCCGGGGTGGTAGCACCTGTTAGGGGTCCCAGCTATGGGCAAATAGTTAACCCCTGAAACTGGGGTAAAAACACTATGAAAGTGTAAAAATAGGTTTTAATATCAGAAATACTTTGTAAAAAAAAATTATCAGCAATAAATTTTTGAAGAAAAAATGACTATTACCAGCAATATGTTTTTGAAAATAAATATTACCAGCGATACATTTTTGAGGAAAAAAAATATTACTAGCAATACTTTTTTGAAAAAGATTATTACCAGCAATACATTTTTGAAGGAAAGAATTGTTACCAGAAATAGATTTTTGACAAGACAAAATATTACCAGCAATAAAAATTTTGTCAGCATTAAATAACCCATTGAGATTGATATGGCATGAAATGAAACAAACCAAGTGAGTAATTTAAAAAAAACTTTTTATGAAAATAAAACTATCCAAGATTGTAAATTTCCTAAAAGAAGTTGGATTGTACTCAAAAATATGAGTAATTGAAAAATGGTTTAAATATATATATGTATACATACACACCCTTTTTTTACCAAACTATCGCTATGAATCTATTTCAAAAATTTTGTTGGCATTAAATGACCCAATGAGGTTGATATGACATGAAACAACCAACCAATCTTGCTTCCCAAGTTAACCGTGATTTTTCAAAAATTTGAATTCAGTATCAAATATTATCTTTTCTTAATTCCTATTCTTGTTCTCTTTCTTTATTAATATTTTTCTTTTTCTCATTGTTTCATACTCGGTAACCCCTTGCGTTTTAGTGGTTTTATTGCCTTGCTAGTGGTGAAATGATTTAAAGAAACAAAAAAAATTAAAGTCTATTTTAAGAGGAAGTAACAATAAGATGCAGTTAAACTACAGGAGCTGATGGCATAGAAAACTGAACCTTAATAATTCTCCACTTCCAAAACTCAAGAAATATGCTCCAAGTTTATAAGCAAAGTTCAGGCACCTGATTGGTAATTTATATTTACTGAAAAGCCATAGACTAGTGTTTTCACTTCATTGTGTCATAATCATATGGTCCAGCAGAATATAACACCAAGGTGTTAGTTTGTATGAATAAGCACTTAATAAATTTCCTTGGTGGTTGAAATAGTTGAATGTTTTCAGAACCCAGTGTTTGAACCAACATTTCAAATGCCCTTGGGAGATTTGGTGCAACACAATCTTCTTTGACTCATTTTGCAGGACTTCTCTAATATTTAATGTCCTGCTTGGTCGGTTAAATTTGTATTTACTGCTGATGGGTTAAAATCATACATTCTGAATGCAGATTTTCTGGGCAAGCAGATCACTTAGAAGGTTAGTGTGACACCATCTTCCACTTATTTTCAAGTGATTTACCCTTGTGCCAGACTATAAGTCCTGCATGGTTAGATTTGTATCTCCTGCTGATGGCTAAGCATTTTGAATGCTGATTTTCCAGGTGGACAGATCAGTCCCACCCCACACCCTTAACTAGTTCGAAATTTTTTTAATCCCTTGCCTTTATTTTTCAGTGCATCTTTATTTTACATTGTAAAAGGAGAACAGATGGCACATGCCCCACGGAAATTACGAAAGTAAGTTCTCTGTTTTTCTTGTATTTATGATATATGTGAAAAATTTCAGATCAAACCTTATTTACAGTGCAAGCTTCTGTGTTTTTAAAATATGCCCTGCATGGATGCCATTACTTTAAAAATGCTTTCAACTGTGACCCTCTTACTTACAATGGTGAGAACTAGTTGTTAACATCTCTTCAGTTAGGTGTGTAATTGTTTTTTGACTTGGGTCCTTCTAGGTGATTCATATTTTGTATCTTAGTATACTGTAGCCTCCAATTGTCTCTTCACAAAAATTCTATGTTTATCCATTTTGTATTCACCAAGATTTTTGCATTTTACCTATAGCTGGCATTTGTAACTTTTCTCTTTTCCTTTCTTGAAGTCAGGTCAGACTTAGGCATGCTACTGGTAGCATGTAACCCAGTACAACTTGCCGCATGGAGTTTGGGGGTGGCATCTTAACCAGCCTCCCCACTAGTGTTCCTGGCGGTGAGGAGGGTGGCATGTCACAAAGCAGGACAACAAATGAGGCCTGTTAATGGGTGAATGAGCATCTTATAGGTGCCAAAGGCCCCCCCCCCCATATATATATATATATATATATATATATATACACACACAGTTTAACCCGGATATAAGAGAGATTTTCTCTGGTCCCAAATTAGAGCCTGTGTTAATGTATATAAAATAGACCAAACCCGGATATAAGAGACTTCTTCTCTGGTCCCGACAACTCTCTTATATCCGGGTTACACTGTATATATACACACACACACTCACATAAATAAAGACAAAAGGAAAACTCATTTGCCTTGATAAAGTCCCTCAGTGGATGAAACACATTGCCTAAGATAAGTTTTCCCTTTTGTCTTTATTCATATTGTCCTTTTACAGATAGAATATATCTGAAATATATGACTAGGATGGGGTCTCAAGTGTTGACTGGCAGTTTTCCGAGAGATGGTGTCTTAATAAAAACACTTGAACTACTGTGGGTGTCTGAGAGAATCTGGCCTTGTAAAACCATGTCTTAAATCATTATTATGACAAGGACCTACCTTGCTTTTGTGAGAGATTACTTCCAGCCCTGCTTCAACAAAAAAGAAAACAAAAACATGACTATGATGATGATTTCTCAAAATGTTCATGATATTTTTTAGTGACACTGCTTTCTGCAGCCACCTATCAATTGCTTGATAGGGGTAGGGAATTCTTTTGTCAATACTTTTGTTCATTGCCAGAATCTTTCTTTCTCTTCTGGAAGCAATGTCGTGTGATATACATATCAGATTTTTCCTGTTGGATTCTTTTACTGTCTTGTGATAGCTTCTGGATTTGGCCATGAATATAATTTCAATATGTTCTTGACAAAATTCTTAGATTTTTTTGCTTATGGCCATATCACATTGAAATGCTGGTTCCTGTACAATCATGGAAGTTAAGTGATGTTGAGCCTGGTCAGTACCTAGCTGGATGACTGCTTGGTGCTGTAAGCTTGGATGTGTGGGTTGTGTAATGGATAATGGCTCAAAATTGTTAATCGGAGAGCTGAGTTCCAATTCTCACTGGGTTTGTTATATTCACTTACATGCAAATACCCTTGGGAAAGGTATGAATCTATCTCTCCTCTCCTCAGCTATGGGTTAATTAGTAAGAATTATCTCACTAAACCATTATTATTATTTCCCCCCCAAAATTTTTAGAATCTAAAAAATATTTTTTGGCTTTAAACAACCTGCTAAGGGTTAGTTAATAAGTCATAGGAAATGAATCAATCTTAGAGTTTCTGAAGATTTTTTTTTATATAATTTAATATGTATCTAATTAGTGTTAACTTTGCCTATGTATAGAGATCTGTGTTACCCTGTGTATGTATTTTATGGCTTGGAACATGGTTTCTAAGATTATTTGAGAGAACTACTGCTTGCTATAACTCTTCCAAGTGCCATAGCTTACATTCTCTTATGTGCAAATACCCCTGGGAAAAGTATGAATCCATCCCCCAGTTATGGGTTAAATAGTAACTATCTAGAAAAATCATTGTTATTCTCAAAAAAAGAAAATATTAATGCAATAATCACTCACAAAAAAAAAATTCTTACAATTCAAAATTTGATATGGGATATCTTTTAATTATTGTAATGTTTTGACAGACAAAAAATATCATCAAGATATCTCATATCTGCCAATCAGTGGACACCTGATGATGACCAGTGGATACTTGGTTGAAACGTTGTCTATAATAACATCTATATCAACCAAGATGAGAACAATAATTCAAAATAATACAAGAATATTGACAATTACTCCTCAGAAATGAAATACTAAATTACGAAAAGCAGTACAAACTCACCATCATAACCAAATACCTCAAACCATCTTACATTGAATATAAAAGGCTCCAAAAATCACACTGCTAATGTCCTTCAGGGTTATGTATATAGGAATTGGTTATACATGTGTTACTGTCATCTAGTGTTCAAGAGTTCAATTCTTGGATATGGTAGTGATGCAGGAACAAACACTGACATCACAGGGACAAAATATCACAATTTATTGTATAAGCCAATCAATGGACACCTGATGATGACCAGAGGGTATTTGTTTGAAATGTGTCTATAATAATATTTATATAAACTAAAATGAGAACAATAGTACAAAATAATACAAGAATATTGGAAATTAAATACAAAACCTGTTTTAATATTTTACAAATAGCAACAAGATATTTTTAATTTGAAGAAATTATTATAATTGTTCCTCCACAAGATTTTCATATTGTTTTGCTTGCATTATTTAAGAATAAAAACTAAGTGATTATATTTTCCATTTTTCTTTTTTTTTTACCTAGGAAAGCTATTGATATACTTCTTGATGCAATGGAAAATAGAGATGATGAACAAACAGTAAGTAAAATAAGAGGGCACTTTAATATTTATGCTTATAAAATATTGTAATATGTATATATTAAAATAAGAAAAAACAGTAAGATTTACAGTCCTGTGTTTAGTTTCTATTTTGAAACATGGTAATTTCTGTGTAACGATGGGACCATATTTTTAAAACAGTAAATAATTATAATAAAATATTGTAACCTATCTCTGAATGTTTCATTGTTCTTCAATAGTAAAACAAAAACTATATAAGCTGCCAAGTTCTTATGATTATCCAAAACCTGTGTGAATAGTCAACTGATTATTAAAGACAAGACATTGCTTTACAAGAAGTTGCAATTTTCAGGGTTTTGTTTTTTTTTTTTTGTTTTTTTTTGTTTGTGTTGAATTCCTCTGGTATTTCTTCTACTAAAGTTTACAACTTGGAAATATTTTGTTAAAGACAACTTCAAACCCTGTCTTAAGCCCACCAAATTGATGAGTGTCCTTTTTTTCTTTAAGATGGGAGTATTTTGATATGTGTAAGGAGTCAGCTTAGATCTCAACGTTTTTTTTTAAAAAAAAACAGCACTATCAAATTGTTAGCTTTGAAAATGCTGAAAAAGAATTTCCTGTCATAGTGACATAATTTAGAGAGACGTTAAAAACTAAACATCACATGATAAATAATTATATCTTTATAAAGAGAAAAGATTAAATTTTGTTTACAAATTTTATCAAAATAACCTAAAAAATAAACAAGATATCAGCAGTTGAAATGGAAGGAAATTTCATTATTTTACCTGTTTTTGCAGTGTAAACTAAGGCATTTTGGGATACCTACTCTTCATACTTGCATAGTGAAAAATGGCAATTCTTTGTATATAGAGTGACATTTCCAGCTTGATTTAAAGTATGTCTTTTCTGCTTCTGTTCAATGTCACTCCTCTGAACAAATAGACTTAAGCAGGAAAATATTTAAGCAACTTGAATATTAATTCTTGTACAAAAATTAAGCAAGCCAAATGCTGGTTAAAATCCTAAGTTGCTTTTTTTTAAAAAAAAAAAAAAAAGAAAAAAAAAGTGTATTGTCATGTAATTGTGTATCAATCCAGAGTTTTGTAATAAAAAGCAACAATAAGAAAAAATAATAAAATTGGTCATAAAATAATATTAGTGAAAGTTTTTTGTATTAAAAGTTCCATGGTCTTTCTTAGCCATTTTCAAAGAGAACAGTGTGTGTCATACCATAGTTTAATAGACTAGTTTGTTGACTACAGCATAATACTGCAAGAAATGAATACCTAATAAAGATTTAATTCCTCTGTAATTGTTTATTAAACATTGTTGATGTAGATACTGATTACTTTTCTGATAACTCAAACTCATTCTTAAAATATATTGAGCAAATTTGAAGATATTGGGGAAATAGTTGTGGTGTTTGGATATTGAATAACACTGTTTAGACTTGGCATGGTTTACACTATACTTATTTTTTAAATTTCTTTTTTTGTTTCTTTCTTAATCTTGAACTGACTTAAGTTATCTCTTTCTCTCTCTCTCATATATATATATATATATATATATATATATATATATAATCATTTGAAATGTAAATGTTTCAGTAATTTTTCTCCATTTTAGATGCTGAGGAATGGATTTTTGACACTTTGCCATTTTGATATTCCACATGAAGTGGTGAGTTTTTTTTGTTTTTAAATTATTTCTTTCCATATTTGAATAAAATATTTTTTCCTTCCTCATATTTGAATGTGTGTTGTGATAATCCTTAATCCGCAGTCTCTGCAAAATGTTTTTAGTATCTGTCTATATTTCTGAGATGAGGTATTATGTACATTATTTACATTATTCGGACTATTGTCCTCATGTCGCCATATTTATTACATTTCGGCCATTGTATGCTTCGGCCTTCTTCAGGTGGTTGGAATGTCGAACTTAACCCTTTATTTCCTCACTGGGGTAGAATGTTCTAGTTCCATGTGCCGTGTTTAAAAATACTTTATCCACTATACTTGAGGACACATGGCACAGTGGATAAAGGCGTTGGTTAGATCCAGTGACAGGACCCAAAGAGTGTGAGTTCAATACCTGTTTAAGGCAGTGGAGAACTTTCAGAGGGAAATTAACAGGAGATAGCTGATAACTGACATCCAGTAAACATAGCACGTGGAACTAGAACAGTCTACCCCAGTGAGCGAAATAAAGGGTTCAGTTCGGCATTCCAACCACCTGAAGAAGGCCGGAGCATACAAAGGCCAAAACATTGTAATAAATATGGTGACAAAGATGAGGACAATAGTCTAATTAATGTAAATAATGAAAATGTTTTTAGTTTAATTAATTTGGAGCTGACCATTAATCTCTGTGAATTGAGAACATTGGTAACAAATCTGATTCTGCATTCTGTGATTTTGAGATGAGATGTTCAGGTTATTCATCTTGGTTATTTTGGTAAGACAACGGTTTTGACCAATCCATCCCCTGGTCTCTCTTAGGGGATAACAATATTAATTCTCTTGTAATATTCAGGTGTCATTTTTCTTTTCTTTTTTTTTTATATACAGCTGAACCATTCTATGACTTCGCTTAACCATTTAACATTCAACATGCTCAAATCCACCTTGTAAATATTGGCTCTCAAAGTCTTACTGTTTGTGGTGAAAGTCTTACTGTTTGTGGTGAAAGTCTTACTGTTTGTGGTGAAAGTCTTACTGTTTGTGGTGAAAGAAGTCTTACTGTTTTGAAAGTCTTACTGTTTGTGGTGAAAGTCTTACTGTTTGTGGTGAAAGTCTTACTGTTTGTGGTGAAAGTCTTACTGTTTGTGGTGAAAGTCTTACTGTTTGTGGTGAAAGTCTTACTGTTTGTGGTGAAAGTCTTACTGTTTTTGTGAATTCCTGCATTATTTATGATAATGTCATCATATATTATACCAGTGTATAGATGGGGTGGGTTGAATATTGAGAGCCAATATTTACGGGGATGGGTTGAATACTAAATGGTTAAATGTGCAATCAATTTGGGAAAAGATTGGAGTATCTTATTTTCTTGGGCATAATATGAGAAATTTTGAACAAAACTTAAAGGAAAAAAAAAGTAGGGTCGTATTATACACAAATACATCTTTTCAGAAATTTTTACTCTGCTTCAAAAAGCTTTATTTGAAACAGCAAGATTGTACATAATCATTAACCATATAATAATTATCAATGTATATTTATTTATAGTTTTCTGGTTTCATCTGTAGTCAGAAGAGAGGTAAATCAACTTAAGTTAGTAAATTTATGAGTGATTACTTCCCTTAGTTATTTTAATAATCTATAATAATAAAATATTTATCTGCATTTAGACAAAATTAGTTCCTGAACAAAATGAAGCATTTAGTTAATTAGTTCCTTTACTCCTACATTTCTTAGATTGCAATCTTATTTGTCTAAGCCTTTCTTGTGAGCCACTTAGATACCTTTATCTATTAAGTGTTCATCTTGCTTCAACTTGGTCTTGAAATAGCCAATTGCCTACATCATTTTGTACTAACACCGGTGTCCCCCAGGGCTACATCCTTGGTTTTACACTATTTTAAATCTTTATTAACGACCTTCCTGATGATATCAGCTCTCAACTTGGCATCTACACTGATGACACTACCATTTACTCATACATCAATAGTAAGGCTGATCAGTCAAACCATGTCAAAATGGCAGCTAATGTACAAAACGACCTCAAGATCATCGTTGTCTGAATGCCTAGCCAAGCGTCTGAATGCCTAGCCAAGCTTCTCAATGCCTAGCCAAGCGTCTCAATGCTTAGCCAAGCGTCTCAATGCCTAGCCAAGCGTCTAAAGTGTTTAACTAAGTAATCAGTTAAATTTAACAAAGAGACTAGTTCTGTACAGATAAGCTCCTAACAAAAAAAAAGGTACCTACCAGAGGATTTAACGAGAAAATGGTATGAATTAATTTCTGTTTGCACACTGTTCACTTTCTAGATATCCAGACATAATGCTTCATCACTAACACATCATAAGAGTGTTAGTTAGACAACACATGGGCAAACAACTCTCCCATATCTACTTTAGCTATCCAGGTACTTAACCAGAAAAATGCTGTTAACCTCCAAGAAACAACTTTGACAGGGTTACAATAATAAGAAAAAACTTTTTAACTTGATTTCCACAAATTTTATGTTTTTTTTTTTTTCTGTTGTCTCTACAGCTTTACTGTTATAAACGTCTTGTGAAGATCCTCCTGGGAGCTGTCACTCCTGAGCACCAAGACCACCTAGTTCAACGTATCGGTATCTCTTTGCTCAACTGTCTCGCTTGTCAAGTTGACGGCACTGAGAAGAGAATGGTGGGTAAACTAGGAGTCATTAGCGTAAGTGGTATTTACTTTCTTTTTTTCTTTCTCTCTTCTCTGTTTTGTTGTCTTGCAACCCCTCCCCAATTTTTGGAAAATTCTTACTTTACCTATTGGAAATCTATCAAATGTCTATCTGATGCTTTAATAACCGATTGCTCTTTTGTTTCATTGTTAATTTGCTCACATCTGTCTTCTTGTGTGCCAAATACAATCCTACAGAAGTTAAGCAATGTTGAGCCTGGTCAATATCTAAATGGGTGACCACTTGGGAATATCAGGTGCTGTAAGCTTGGATGTGCAAGTGGTTATAATGGATAGGCTCAGAAATGTTAATCCGAGAGCAAAGTTTCAGTTGGATTCATTGTATTCACTTATGCACAAATACCATGAGGAAAGGCATGAATCCACATTTTAAATTAAAAAAAACAAAGGTCTTACAATCTAAAATTTTCTGGCTTTAAATAACTTGCAAATGGCTGATAAATGGATGAATGAATCAATCCTCACCCTGGCATGGTGCTTATTTGATATGGCATCATGCTTTCTTTTTTTTAATTTCTTTTTAAATAATTTTCTCTATAACAAAAAAAAAAAAAAAAAAATTATCAGCAATAAAAAACTTGTCATTAAATAACCCATAAAGGTTGATGTGCTGTAAACCAAACTAAAAATTATGAAAAGCAAATGAATGTCAAAATCAATTTCTTTACAAACCGTGTATCTGAAAAGAATACATTAATGAAACCAAACTCTCAACAACAGCCATCTTTACAAAAATATATCAATGAAACCAAATCTAAAAACTTTCCTTACAAAGAATATATATTCTATTCTTATGAATCTATTGTAAAAAAATATTGTTGACATTAAATAACCCATTGAAATTGATATGCCGTAAAACAAAACAAACCAACTAACAATCAATTTTCTCTGTAGCATGATTTTGTTTGACAGGATATTTGAATTATCTCACTTATTTTAAAAGTTGAAAAATTACCAGTGCCATGTTTATTCTGTGTGGCATGAATATTTTAGTACAAAAGGATACTTATTGATAGATATTCTTGATTCTAGATTATTTTTTTTTTTTTTTTTTTGATCTTGTATTTTTTTTTTTTAAGTAGCTTTATTATATATTTTTATACTTTTTTTTTTTAATAAATTTTTAAAAATTTTAAAATATTTAAATTTTTATACTTTTTCTTTTTTAAATTTTTAATAAATATAAAATTTTTAAATATTTAAAAAATTATTTATTGTATTTTGATTTTGCAACTTTGAAAGTATTTTTAATATACCTTAAAGTCTCTTAATTTTAATATGTAAATTTTTTTCTTTCTAAGCAGATCAATGCTTGCAGCCAAATTATAACAACAATATTTTGCACATATTTTTCGATATCACCTACTTACTTGTCAATGCACTTAATCACAATTCTCCATTTATCACAGATTGAATATTATGCAGTGAAAGTTTCCAATTAAAATAATATCAGACTATTGACTTAATGATCCACCCTTTTATATAACACATAGTTTGTTGATTCTGACAATTAGACGTTTAAACACATTAGAAATTCAATACTGGTTGCTGTTCAAAATGTTACTTTTTGGCCTTTTTATAGTTTCATTAATATAGCTTCAGTTTTACGATGTTCTATCTTTCAGGCAATGTTGTCTATTGTAAGAAGAAAACTTGAAAGCAAAGTCTGTGACGAAACTTTAGAAGTCTCTTGGAGTACGATGTGGAATGTAACTGGTAAGATTTGATGTTTATCAAACAGGTTCTAATTACATGTGCCATGCCGTTTTGGATATCTTAGTTATCCAATAGGTGACAAGGATACATGGCCTAGTGGATAAAAGCATTGGATGAGTCATCCTAAAGTGACTTGATACAAAGAGTTGTGAGTTCAATACCTGGCCACAGCAGGGGACAAAAACTTGGCAAGTTGAGTTACCAAGAGGAATTAACATTAAAGTGAGATACCTAAAAAAATAATGGCAATGGAATTAGGACAATCTACCTCCGTGGACTAAATAAAGAATTTGGTTCAAAATTCCAACTGATATCACCAAAAGAAGGCTGGAGCATACAATGACAAATGTTGTGAATATAGCAATAAAGATGAGGACAACAGTTTGAAACCATGTAAATAGTGTAAATAGTTACAATGCCTGAAACAATGTTCGTGACTGTGGCAACAAAGATGAGGACAATAGTTTGAAACAATGTAAATAGTGTAAATAGTTACAATACCTCATCTCAGAAATATAGACACTATTACATTATTTACCAGAATGACTTAATATATACAACATTCTAAAAACTAATACAATTAAAACTAATGCAATGCAAAATGTATTATTTACCAGTTTATAAAGAAATAAATATAAAAACAATTTTTTATTCATAAATTTATAAACATTTACTAAATTATTAAAATATGTGAACCAACTATAAGGAAATCGTTATTTACCATTTTATAAAGTTTAAATCAATTGGCAATTTGCCAATATTTTGTTAACCATTCCATATAACAATATAATAAATTAATAGTGCAAATGAAGAATCTAATAGTGTTTGCTGCTAGAAATATTGCTTTCAAGAATTTCAACACTCTTGGACAAGCCTCAGTGGAGGGATGTTTCTCAGTCCATAAGGAAATTTCCACTGACAATATGAAACAGCAGACTCTGGTCACACAGTGTATTATCATGGATTATTTGGCCAAAGTAGAAGGTGATAGGAATGTTCTCATGACTAAGGAAGTTCTCTGCAGTACTTCCAATGCCAGAACAGCATACAGCCAATACATTGAGGCTGAGAAAAGGGGGGGGCAGGAAGAAGCAGTTGGACAAAAATGAAAATGCATGCTTATGAAAATTGAAGAACTGAAGACCAAAAAACACTAGCTTGAAAGTTGCACATAGTTGCTCAAGTCAGCTGACAGCTATGTGGAGAAAGCTGAACAGACTCTGAACTTATCGCAAATTCCAATGGCATGCAAAGATCTCCATAGAGATAAAATTGGAAGGGGAGCTGAATGCTAAACAAGATGAATTGAACAAATATTAACATTGTGTTCTGTTCCATGTGCAACAAAAGCCATGAGTAGTAGGGGTAGCTAAAATGTATTCTTTTCGTGAAAATTTCTATTTGTAGTTTTCATTAAAACCACTATACCTCACTTTACAGGTAATGTGCAGCATTCAAGAATTTTTGTAACATTCACAAACCATGATCTAGATAGCTGAAATGTGCAGCAGTAAGAATTAAAAATTTTTAAGTGTAGTAAAACTCCTGTGTTGAATACAACCAAGCCTACATTGTCATGTTTTAGCCTTCCACAATTGGATTTCTTCACTGCTTTCAACTGATCCATGTAACATGAATCATTGGAACCAGCTGTAGCTTTTCTTTGAACATCTGTCAAACTATTAAAGAATAAATCACAATGTTTGTGTTTTTGAAATTGATGACCATTTACTGTGTGTGTGTGTGTACGTGTCAATGTTTCCCCACCTGCCTCTCATCTCCATTGTCTGGGTCCTGCATAATTTCGGGGAATTCACCTTTTCCACAAGTGATGGTTACAAGCCTTACTTCACCCCATAACTTCCACTTTCTCTTATCTCCCACTAATCCTCTTCAGTGGATGTGGGTGGTTCCTCCACCTTAGTGTTTCATTTATGCTCGCTACCTCGGCCACCCTCCAACCAATAAAGATTAATTCTAAGTTTGTTGTTTATGCAGAAAAGTTGCCCATTCATAGCCTATATTTTTAGCTGTGTGGGATTGACCAAATGTCAATCATTGTTGCCATTTGACCTGTCACAGTTCAAATCCACGTCAACCCTATGTGTTTCATTGTTCATGTCTACATGAGAATTAAAATTTTCAATTTTTCCCCACAGGGTTTATTCATTAACCCTTCCCATTTTTTTTTATCAGGAGTCTGTCAGTACTCTTTCTATTTAAAAAAAAAAAAAAAAAAAAAAAAAAACTTATAATTACCAGTAACAAATAGTGTCACACACAAGGAAATAAACAATCCCCAATTCCACACACAACAAGTTATAAACAACCTTCTCCACTAAAATCACATTTATCTCCAGAAATCTCTTCTGCCTTTATTTTTTTCATTGGAGTAAAAGCATGTCTCGTACATGGTCAGTATGTATTTGGTGAATTGTTATAATTCAGTATTTGTGTTAATGTCTAACTTGAATTCTTTTTAATTGATAAACAACAAGAGTGATTTTCTTTTCTTTTGTTTACTAACAGATGAAACTCCATCAAACTGTGAAAAATTTATGGATGGAGATGGTATGGAGTTATTTATTCAATGCCTCAAGGTAATCTGATCTTTTACATCATTTTATATATATATATATATATATATGTGTGTGTGTGTCTGTGTGTGCTTATTTTTTTTTTTTTTTTTAATATCTTTTAACTTGGCAACCAGTTTCATTGGTTAATCAGACCTTGCATGCATCTGTCTTGTCAAACAGCATTTGCATGTGTGTATGAATAAAGACAAAAGGAGAAATTAGCTGACACATTTTGTTCCCATGACGGACTTTTATTAAGGCAAATGCAAGGATTTTATTTTGTAATGAGTATTCATATGCAAGAGCAAAAAGGTTTTTAAATTTAAGAACTCTCATTCATCAGGTCAGCAAAAGTGTTTAGGCAAGCTATGGAGGATGCCTAGTAACACAGTCAAATCAACAGGCAACTGCCAAACATGGATAAAAATGTCTACCAAACATGCACTCATATGAATATAAATTATCTAAATCCTGCATAGACAAACTAGAATTATGATACACATGCATGCATAAATTATAAACACAAATGCTACTTGACAAGACAAATACATGTGAGGTGTGTTTAACTGCTGAAAAAAAAAAAAAACTCTAAAATTGTAGAATTTTCATTTTCTCCTACTTATTTCATTCTGTTGAAGCTTTAATAAAAGTGAAACATGTTAAGTTTATAAACGTTTCCTATTTGTTCCTTATCCTAAAATATATATATATATATATATATATATATATATATATATATATATATATATATATAATCTCAGTTTAATGGTGGGTAATTGAATGAGAGTGGGAAAAATTATGGGTATGTAATTTAAAAAATGCTTTCATGTATTTTGTTAAATTATAATTAATTTCTATAATCCTATTATAATTGTACTTGTCTGTCCCTTCGTTAGTTCACATGACCGTCAATACCTCATAAATAATGGACAATTCCATTTTGATGTTGTGGAAAGAGGGGAAAAGGACACTACTTTGTTTCAGGGAGAAAATGAAAGAAATAAGGAAAAATAGTGTTTAATGACTGTTTCAGTGAAATGTGAAAAGTTGTCAATTTCAAATCTTTTCATATTTACCATTATCATCACTCAAATATAAATATGCTCACAAGGAAATAAACAATTTCCAATTAGACACAGAACAATTAAATAATGACCAGCATTCATATTTGATTGTTATTGCAATATTTTGTTAAAGTTGTTAAGCTCAAATATTTAATGATGCGATAAGGGAATTTCTATAGATATCTTATTACCATAGAACTCGCCATGAGCTTATTCAATCATTAGCTGAAGAATTAAGATTCATCAGAAAAGTCAAATAGGCAAACCATGAAATTTTCACCGGGTCTTTCATGGTGTTTCCCTCTTTTTTTATATATATATATATATATATGAAAAATTTCTCCCATTTAATCAGTAGAGAAGACATATTTTATTCATATATATATATATATATATATATATATATATATATATATATGAACAATAAAAAATAATATTAAAATTAAAATCTTCAGACACACTGGGTTGTAGATTAATATTCTTTTCGTTTTTTTTATTATTATTTCATTTAGATTCCTTGACTAGTTTTGGCCAAAATGGCCATCATCAGGAGAAATATTTCTGCTTGCAGGTAGCAGTAAACTACAGAATATATATATATATATATATATATATATATATATATATATATATATATATATATATATATAAAAATATAGAGAGATAGAGATACTACACTTTGATCTTAGCCAAACGTCCGGGAAGGGTGATACAAACAATGATAATATGCTTTTATGAAATTGTTATTGCAATATTTTGTTAAAGTCGTTAAGCTCAAATACTTAATGATGTGATAAGGGAATTTCTATGGATATCTTATTACCATAGAACTTGCCATGAGCTTATTCTTAAGAATTAAAATTCATAAAAGAAATTAAAATAGGAAAACCACAAAATTTTCATGCATCTTTCTAGTGTAATTTATTAGAAATGCAGTATAGAATATTGCAATATTATATCAAACAGATAAGATCAGATATGAAATAAAAGAAAAAAATATGTACTATTTACATAAATTCTACTTAAAAGGATTTGAAAATTTGCATAGCTAAAGCTTTTAATAAAATGGATATAATCTGGAAATCTGGTCTACCAGACAACCTCAAGTGGAGATTCTTCTGCACCACTGTAGTTAATGTATGGTGCCACTGCTTGGACATTAACTAAAACCTTTGTGTCTAAGCTTAATGGAACCTACACTCAGATGCTAAGAGCTATACTTAATGTCTCTTGGAGACAACATCCAGTAAAATCACTGCTCTATGGATCTATCCCTGATATTTCTATAATCTTTGTAGAACACTGCTGGTGAGCAAAATGAGAACTGGTGAATGATCTGCAGCTTTGCACACCTAACCATGGAGCAAGATGGGTTGGTCACCCAGCAATCACTTACATTGACAATATGACACAGAATGCCTCTCTAAATACTTTCTGACCTTGATGGCTTGTGCGATACTCATAAATGACTGAGCTAGCTTGACCAAAAATATAAACTATTTACTTTTCGATTTAAGCTAATGACCTCTTCTCTGGTGCCATTTTTTTCTTTTTCCAATTTTTTTTCAATATTTTTGTTTTCAATAATTTTGTTTTATTCCTTTCATTTTACTTAAACCTACGTCAGTTGTTATATTATTTCTCTGTCAAATTTACTTTGCCAAAAATGTTGTTTTCTACATTCCTGTTTAATTTTATCTTAACAGGAATTTCCTGAAAAACCAGAACTTCTCCGTAACATGATGGGCCTTATGGTAAGGGATTTCAGTATTGTTGTGTACACACACACACACACACAATTTTTATGGAAAAAAAAAAAGTTGTATAGAGTTTTTCTGGAAGATAACATCTTTAAGGCAAGCAATTCTTGCAATTAGAGTGCTTGATATCAACAGATAAAATATTAATAGTAATAAATAGAATTAAATGTTGTGGAACAGACTCCTGAGGGGATGCTTCCCCAGTCACTAGAATCTTAACTTTTTAAAGTCTAAGGTCAGCTGTTATTTATCCTGCATATCCTCCTAATTGGCACTTATTTCCTCATCTTCCCTCTACCTTACATGACTCTTGAGCCTTGTATTGGGAGAACATTATTCTGAGTTTTGTGAAAATTACATCCACTCATGAAGAGCTGTGATTGTAAATTTAAATTATAAAAATCCTGTTTTTCCCTAGACGTTAATTTTTCCTGAAAAGACGTTTTAAGAAAAAATATGATGTCTCTATATAAATCCAGTTTTACAATAGAGATCCTCTGCTTTATATTGGTTAAAACTTAGTACTGGGATAAGTTAAGTGAGCATTTAATTTTTTGCTGATTGCAGCTCATTTCATTGGTCTTCAGATAAGTCAGTCAGTTATGTGCCATACGTGATACACGCTTAGGCGATCGTGTATCTTTTGATACATGACAGACCAGGCAGATTTTTTCCTGGAGTAGGTTGCCATTTCTTTCTGCAGTAGACCAGTTGCCATCCAAGGCTATAGAACCTGGTCTGCCCTGCTATTTACCCATAACTGGGAGAGTGACCAGAGAAGAGTAAATTAGAGAAGGTAATTAGCACATAAGTGAACGTAATGGATTTGACTGGAATTCTAACTCTGCTCTCCAATTCCTCAATCCGAGCCGCTATCCAATTCCTCAATCTGAGCCGCTATCCATTACACCAACATACCTCCTCAGGTAAGACTGGGCATAAATGAACTGAAGTGGCTTTTTGACTGGAGATCCATTTCCCAACTAGTACTTTCTACCTTGTACTAACAAGGTAGGGTCAGTGAATACTTGTAAAAGCTTGTCAAACTGGGTTATTTTTTGCATAAGTGTGTTTATTTCTCTATTACATTGACCTTGTGTCATCCAGTACTTTAATTATTTGAATGTAAAATAAGAAAAATTTAATCACCTGAATATTTTTCAATTATCCAAACTAAACCTGTTCTAATATTTAGAATAGAATTTAGAAAACCATACCCAACACTTGATAAAAATGCTCATAAAATCAGTTCAATTAATTCTTATTAATTTCTTCATTTTCATACAAAGAATATATGTGTAAGTGGCCAGGGTATTGTTGAACGCCTAACCATGTTGGAAAATGATAAAGAGGATGATGATGATGATGATAATCATGATCATATTGTTGAAGTCCAACAATTCCAATGGCCAATGTCAAACTCCAAAGCAAAAATTATGTTTGACAGATATTTAAGTTGGTTGCACTTTCAGCCAGAAGCTGTTTTTATGTATCCTTCAACTATGAATCCAATTTTAGGAGTTTGCAGCAGAAAAACGCATGACCAGTCAGAAACAGACAAACACTGATGCTTACTTTTTTCATTTCCTTTTTTCTTTTCTTGATTCTTTTTTTCTCTCTGTCTCTCTTTCTTTTTCTCTCTGTCTCTCTTTCTTTTTCTCTCTGTCTCTCTTTCTTTTTCTCTCTGTCTCTCTTTCTTTTTCTCTCTGTCTCTCTTTCTTTTTCTCTCTGTCTCTCTTTCTTTTTCTCTCTGTCTCTCTCTCTCTCTGTCTCTCTCTCTCTCTCTGTCTGTCTCTCTTTCTGTCTTTCTTTTTCTCTCTCTCTTTTTCTCTCTGTCTCTTTCTTTCTTTCTTTGTCTGTCCCTTTCTTTCTTTCTTTCTTTGTCTGTCCCTTTCTTTCTTTCTTTCTTTGTCTGTCCCTTTCTTTCTTTCTTTCTTTGTCTGTCCCTTTCTTTCTTTCTTTCTTTGTCTGTCCCTTTCTTTCTTTCTTTGTCTGTCCCTTTCTTTCTTTCTTTGTCTGTCCCTTTCTTTCTTTCTTTGTCTGTCCCTTTCTTTCTTTCTTTGTCTGTCCCTTTCTTTCTTTCTTTCTTTGTCTGTCCCTTTCTTTCTTTCTTTCTTTGTCTGTCCCTTTCTTTCTTTCTTTCTTTGTCTGTCCCTTTCTTTCTTTCTTTGTCTGTCCTTTCTTTCTTTCTTTCTTTGTCTGTCCCTTTCTTTCTTTCTTTCTTTGTCTGTCCCTTTCTTTCTTTCTTTCTTTGTCTGTCCCTTTCTTTTTTTTTCTTTCTTTGTCTGTCCCTTTCTTTCTTTCTTTCTTTCTTTGTCTGTCCTTTTTTTCTTTCTTTCTTTGTCTGTCCCTTTCTTTCTTTCTTTCTTTGTCTGTCCCTTTCTTTCTTTCTTTCTTTCTTTGTCTGTCCCTTTCTTTCTTTCTTTCTTTGTCTGTCCCTTTCTTTCTTTCTTTCTTTGTCTGTCCCTTTCTTTCTTTCTTTGTCTGTCTGTCTCTTTCTTTCTTTCTTTGTCTGTCTGTCTCTTTCTTTGTCTGTCTGTCTCTTTCTTTGTCTGTCTGTCTCTTTCTTTTGTCTGTCTGTCTCTTTCTTTCTTTCTTTGTCTGTCTCTTTCTTTCTTTCTTTGTCTGTCTCTTTCTTTCTTTCTTTGTCTCTTTCTTTCTTTCTTTGTCTCTTTCTTTCTTTCTTTGTCTCTTTCTTTCTTTCTTTGTCTCTTTCTTTCTTTCTTTGTCTCTTTCTTTCTTTCTTTGTCTCTTTCTTTCTTTCTTTGTCTCTTTCTTTCTTTCTTTGTCTGTCTGTCTCTTTCTTTCTTTCTTTGTCTGTCTGTCTCTTTCTTTCTTTCTTTGTCTGTCTGTCTCTTTCTTTCTTTCTTTGTCTGTCTCTTTCTTTCTTTCTTTCTTTGTCTGTCTCTTTCTTTCTCTCTTTCTTTGTCTGTCTGTCTCTTTCTTTCTCTCTTTCTTTGTCTGTCTGTCTCTTTCTTTCTCTCTTTCTTTGTCTGTCTGTCTCTTTCTTTCTCTCTTTCTTTGTCTGTCTCTTTCTTTCTCTCTTTCTTTGTCTGTCTCTTTGTCTCTCTCTTTCTTTGTCTGTCTGTCTCTTTCTTTCTTTGTCTGTCTGTCTCTTTCTTTCTGTCTCTCTCAAAAAACTGGTCAAAAGAGTGAACTTTAAAAATGTTATTTGTCAGTATAAATATTAAATTTCTTTTAGAAAATGTCTTTTTTTTCTTAATTTTATTTATTTATTTATTTATTTTTTTTTTTCAACAATTTAGGTATTCAAATATCTGGAATTTAAAATTATCTGTGTATATTTTTTCAGTCCCTGTCTCATGGTGTCTAGATAATTGAGGAAGTACTGTATTTGCTCATTTTATGTTTTTTTTTTTTTTTTTTTTTCTGTAATTATATAACTCAAAAAACCTCAGCAATTAGCTTATTGTGTTAATTGCTGTCGGATTGTTGGTTATTTTTTATTCAATTTCATTATTAAAATTTAAGTAAATAATTTTTTTTATAAGATTTTCTTTTTATATGTAATTTTTCTTGTTTTAATTTTTCCCCCCTCTTCTCTCCCAGGGTAACATCTCTGAGGTGAAGTACTTGAGGCCAAGACTGATGAAGCTAAAATACATCAGCAAGTTCAGGTAAATAAAATTTTCCATCTCTACCTACTGTTTCTTCCAGATCCCCAATGACAGCACCTTTTTTCAGACTCTTCACTTTTTCTTTTCCTTTCACTGATATTTTGTATATTCACTTGGAATATCTCTCTCTCTCTCTCTCTCTCTTTCTTTGAAAAAATCTTCATGTTATATTATTAAATTAAAAAATGATTTCAATACATTCACTACTGCATTGTGGCTGGAACATCTTGTGAAAATAGACCAAAAACTTCATCTATTTGTTGATCTGGTGATTTTTGTTTCTATTATTTTATTTTTTTTATTTTTTTTTTTTATTTTTTTTTTTTTTCGGCTTTGTTTTTTTGTGGGGGTGGGGCTTTATTTCTTTTGTTTTGGCTTCTTTTTTTTTGGATTTTGTTTCTTTTAGCTTTTCTTTGTTTTTTTGTTTTTTTTTTGGCTTTGTTCCTTTTTTATTTTGTTGTTTTTCATTTTGTTTTTTGGGTTTTGTTTCTTTTTCGTTTTGTTTTTTGGGCTTTGTTTTTTGTTTGGGTAGGGTTGCCTTTTTTGGGCTTTGTTTTTGCTTGTTTTTTTGGGGGGCTTTGTTTTTTTTTTTTTTTTTTTTTTTTTTTTGGGGGCTTTTTTTTTTGTTTTGTTTTTTTTTTTGGCTTTGTTTTTTGTTTTTTTGGCTTTTTTTTTTTGGCTTTGTTTTTTTGGGTTGTTTTTTGTTTGTTTGTTTGTTTTTTGTTTTTTTTTTGTTTTGTTTTTTTTTGCTTCTCAAAAAAATAAAAAAAAAAACAGATTTCTATTACCCCAATGTTGCTTGCTCCTCTAGTATACTCAGTAAAATTCTATAAAGTAGTATTAAAAGTGCTCAAATTTATTATTTGAATTTTATTTTTTTTTCACCTCAAGATAGATGACCTATTTCAATGTATAGCTGCATGACCTATATCCTTTTTTTATTACCCACACAACTTCACCACACTTCTTTTTGCATTGTCATTTCTCATTAATCCCATCACAAACTATTGCCTGATTTGGCGCATACTCTGTTAGGTCTATGTTATTAAGTCACCATGTCTGTAACCTAATAATGATTAACAAAAACATTGCACAACAAATATTTTTCAGCGTAATTTTCTTCCTTAAGCGAATGTCTCATATTAATCTCATAGATCAAACATCATGCAGTAAGAATTTTCCAACATTTAACTAATAACTGTCAGGTGATTGATTTACTGTCTCATCATATTCTAGTGGACAGTTAAATATTTGTTTTTTTTCTTGAATTCTTGTCTTATTCTTCTAACCATTGTCTTCACCCATAAGAATCTTAGCTTGCATACTTGTAAAATCTGCTCTATATTCTTTTGAATTAGTGAACTGCTAAATTCTACAAGTGATGGAATTGAAGTCAGCTACAATGCAGCTGGAGTTTTGTCTCACATAGCTTGTGATGGACCTAAAGCTTGGACCATCGAGAGCCCAAGGCGGACAGATGTTCTCAAGACAATGGTCAGTGTCATTGAAAGCTGGGATATTTCTGCTAAACGCAATATCAATTACAGGTAAGAATCTTTGACTTTTTTAGTAAAATTGAATTTTTACCTTTTTTTTTTCTTTTCTTTTCTCCCTCTCTCTTCCTTTTCCTCTTTTTCTTTTTTCTTCAATAGCCTATTTTTATTTTTCTTCCTTTTTCTTTATTATTTTTATTTTCTTTCTTTTTATTTTCTTTCTTTTCTTTCATTTTCCTTTTTTCTTCCTTCCTTTATTCTTTTTCCCCCTCCTTTCTCTCTTCCCCCTTCTCTCTCCTTTTTGTTATTTCTTTGTCTTTTTCCTTTCTTTTTTTTCTGTATCTCTGTTTCCTTTTCACTTTTTCTTTCTCTTTTTATTATCTTTCTCTTTTTTCTTTCCTTTCTCTTTTTTCTTTCCTTTCTCTTTTTTCTTTCCTTTCTCTTTTTTCTTTCCTTTCTCTTTTTTCTTTCCTTTCTCTTTTTTCTTTCCTTTCTCTTTTTTCTTTTTTTTCTTTCCTTTCTTTTTTCTTTCCTTTCTTTTTTCTTTCCTTTCTTTTTTCTTTCCTTTCTTTTTTCTTTCCTTTCTTTTTTCTTTCCTTTCTTTTTTCTTTCCTTTCTTTTTTCTTTCCTTTCTTTTTTCTTTCCTTTCTTTCCTTTCTCTTTTTTCTTTCCTTTCTCTTTCTCTTTTGTCTTCTTTGTCTTCATTCTCCTTTTTTATTCTTTTTCTTTCACATTTTTGTGTGAAAAATATTTACTTTCTATATTGATGTTCTTCTTTCATTAACTTTATTTGAAAAATTAAATTGTGTGAGAATAAATATTTTCTCTCCTCCAGATGAAAACATTAATGGGTTGCAAATGTATAATCAGATATTTAATATCATGATATCTTTCAATTTGAAGGCTTGCTTTAGACAAATGGTTGCCGGTTCCATTGGCCGAGTATCTCTGCCATGGCTCTATATACTTGGTTATGGAACTCAGTCTACACCACTGTGCTAAAGGATTGTTGACCCCTACAAGCTGGTTCATTCACCCTTTGATAGATCTTGTTTTTAATTCTGATAGTGGTCTGGCCACCCTCCTTGTCAGAAAAGCCTGATAGGAAACTTAGTTGCTGATGGCCCAACTATGCAGCAGCTAGTATTGGGTTACATGTTACCAGTAATACTCGTAGAGTGACCTGATAGATATATATATATATATATATAATTAGAGAATATATAATATTTAATATTTTACTTTTTTCCTCAGGTCCTTTGAACCTATATTGCGACTTGTACAAGCTTATGACACACCTGAGGCTCAACACTGGGCGGTTTGGGCTTTATGTAATCTTACTCATGTATACCGTAAGTATTTTGTTTTTATACATATTTCGACATGTCACTGATTGCTACTGCTTTATACAAATGGCCATTACATTGCTTATACTGACATAACAGATGGCATACTGAAAATTTCACCCTTGAATTGGAATTTTTGAAAGTGTAACAATCCGATTTCTCATACATCTTTAGAAGACAAGGAGATAAATTCCTTCTGTTTAAGTCCACTCAGCTATTAGTTTCATAGGAATTTTGTCTCTAGTCCATCTTGAGTGAACCAGTTTGCCTTTGAATTAGGAAACATAAAAATTTTATAAATGATTTTAGATAGTGATAAAAGTAGTCCTTTTAAAGATTTGACCACCCATGTAGCTTTGGGGTGGTCACAAATCTTCGGGAAAAAACAAGTGGGTGGGACCTCAGGATTATTTATATAAGCAGAGAGAAGCAGGAACTTAAGAGGAAAGTGGGCCCAGTTAGTGAGACAAGTAGGTAGGTGACAAGATGAGTTGGAGCTGCCCAGCAGCCAGTGACAGAAAGACTGGTAGTGAGGAATCAAGAGTCGCTCAAGGCCAGTGAAGTTAGGAAGATAGCAGCCCACCTCTTGAAGCTGAAGGAAGGATCCTACATTTAAGTGAAATCGTATTGTTACTACTTCCCAACCAGATAGTCTTGAAAAACAATTGGCTTTCTTTTGTTGAAAGTGTTCATGAACAAGAAGACGAACCTGTTCACATAGTGATTTGGGTGTATATGCAAATACACTCAACCTTGGATGTCATCACAAGTGCAGTGAGCGATGAATAATCAGAGAATGTCATCACAAAACTCTTCACAATTTTGCCACAAATGGCACCACAAAGCTAACAGGGTTGAATTAAGTGCAGTAGCAAAACAAAAAAAACTGTTAGAAATATTGTCTTGGAAAACTTTGAAAAAAAAACCCAAATATATTGCAATTTCATCTACATTATTTATGATCTTTTTACTAAGTTTCTCAGTTTGTAAAGTACATAAATATATATTGATGAGTTGTTAAAATGTTTGCTTTCCAACCTTGAGATCTAGGTTTGAATCTCACCATAGTTTCTTGGGGAGGTGTCTTCCTGATGTCATCAGCCTGCATGGTCAGTTTCTCCGTTGGTCTTCCTGATGTTATTGACCTTTGGGGGGGAGGGTGATCCCAGTGTGCAATACCATGGGAAAGCGCCCAAAGCTATACCAATGATTGGCCCAATACTCATAAGAGAAATTGGGTTCATTGAACAGTTCACAATAGGTTGATGGCTATGCTAGCATGGTCACAATTCATTGTGGGTAAGGATTTGAGTGTACTGGCCTTTTTCAAACTGGTGACCATGCCAGATTATACGCTCTCTTCCAGAAACTGTAACTAAGGTCTGCTCAGTATAGTTGGAGTATGAAACCACAAGCTAAAACTTGAAAGAGAAATTTACTCTATCACCTGCAATAATTGTCACAAAGAATATGTCTGAAAAATTTTGAATTTAAATAAAAGTTCATATAAATACAAAAAGTTTTATACAAAACACACAAATTGCATTAGTTGCTCACTATAATAAATTTAACCATTTTTTTTTTTTATTTATTTATTTTTTTTTTTAAAAGCAATCTACTAAAATGAAATTGAAGAGAAAGTAGTATGTGAGATTATCCAGTTTTGAAAAATAAATGTTTTTGTCATGATTTCATCTGGTAGGATTTATTGGACTTTTTTTTTTTTTTTTTGCAATATGGCATAATATATACATATATATATCTATATAGTGTGTGTGAATATATAATGTATGTGTGTCTGAATATATATATATATATATATATATATATATATATATATATTAACACAGGCTCTAATTTGGGACCAGGAAAATTTCTCTTATATCCAGGTTACACTATATATATATATATATATATATATATATATATATATAAAAGCGATGACAAAGATTATTTTCCTCGCAAAAAAAAACCTTCAACCAGGTTATTTCTTGAAGATAATGTTTTTAAGGTAAGCACTCTTTGTGATTAGAGTGCCTGAAATCAAGCAATAGAGCATTCTTTCTTTTTATGTGCAATGTTCTTTCAGAACGTAGGTGATCATGGCTCTCCATCTTCCTCTATCCCTTGCAAACTACTTCCCCCCCCCCCGGGCCATGTTCTGTCATCCACCTGCTGAAGCTCGTTAGGTATGTCATGCGCTGCTTTCCCTTGTCTCTCTTTCCCCTCTATTTGACCCGTGAGTATAAGATTCTCCAGGCCCTCCTTCCTCATTATGTGTTCCAGAAACTTCAGCTGCCACTTCCTGACTTTAAGTATAAGCCTCCTCCTTGTTTGTAACCTCTCTAAGATGTCAGCATTGCTCACATGCTCGGTCTATGATATCCTTAGCATCCTTCTGTTGAACCACATCTCTGTTGCCTTGAGTCTCTTCATCTTTGAGGAAATCGTTCAACATTCGTAGCATTAATAGTCAGAAATAAAATTAAATCTTTACTTAGTAGTAGAGACAAGTACATATCTTATTTATTACTTATACTAGTGTATCTGTGCTGTCATTTTTGACAGCAATTGTTAGAAAGTTTAATAGTGAGATGCAATGATACAAAATGCCTGGAAACAATGATACAAAATGCCTGGAAACAATGTATTGAGATTTAATAAAATGGAGATAAAAAATATTCACAACTAAAATAGATTCTGCTCTCGTTACATTTTTAGATGTTCAATGGTATCTATGATTCATTGATTACTCCTGGTATGATATGAATCGCTTTTTGCTCAATATCTTTTCATATTAAAGATTTTGTGTTTAATATAACCGTGAAATGGAAATATCTCTTGGAAGAAAAAGATTAGTAACATAATATCAACCAAGATGGAAATGACAAAGCCTATTTCAAGTTGAAGCAAGATGATCACTTAATAAGCAAAGGTATCAGAGTACCTCACATGAAAAGCTTGAACAAATAAGACTGCAACCTAAGAAACATAGGAGTAAGGAACTACTTAATTAAATGGTTCATTTTGCTTTGGAATTAATCTTTACTAAATGCAGATTTTTTATTTATATTAAAATGACAAAGGGAAGTAACCAATCATAAATTTACTAACTTATGTTGATTTACCTCCCTTCCCACTACAGATGGGACAGGAAATCTATAAATAAATACACATTGATAATTATTACATAGTTTGATTGTTGGGAAAATAAGTGTTCTGGGTGAGTAAAAAGTTTGGAAATTACTTGTCTGAATGTACAAATTTGGGGACAAAATACAATTTGTATTGCTTTCTGAGGTTTTTAAGAATAAGCTGGAATTGTTTTTTTTTTTTTTGTTTTTTTTATAAAAAAATAATTTTTATTCTGAAAGGATTGAACTAATTTTCTTATTTTTTCTCATTTTTCTTCAGCTGAACGTTATTGCTCTCTTCTTGAGAAGGAATCCGGGGTAGAGATCCTGATGGCTGTGGTGGCCGATCCTCGACCATATGCACGCATCAAGGACCTTGCACTAAAGGTGGTAAACCAAATCACAGAGTATAAGAACAAGCCGAGCGAGGCAAAGGAAGCATCTGTGTCGCATGTTGACTCTGAGATGACATCCGAAGAGGAAGATGATGATGACGATGATGAAGAGGAGGTGGTAGAGGAAGAGGAGGAGGAAGAGGAGAATGTAGTAGCAGCAGCAGCAGCAGAGGAGGAGCGGGGAGAGGAGAGTGAGGATGAGTTGATGGCAATGTTAGAGTGAGATGGGTGGAAAGGGGATATGCTGGCTTACCTTCATTTTTTTATCTTCTTTTTGTACCCACTCCTGTCACATTCCTATTTCTTCTCTCTTTCCTCTCTCTGCTTTCCAATTCGCTACCTTAAAGAATCCCTCCCTCCCTCCAATACTCATTCGTTTCTTAGTCCCTCCCCCATTCTCTTTAGTGTAATCTTTTCCTTATTGTTTGGCCCTCTTTTTTTTCTTTCTCTCCTATTTTTTTCCCTTTTGGCTCCCACTCTCCTTGTGTTTTTTTTTTTTTTTTTTTTTGTTCCCCTCCTCTTGTTCTTTTTTAGGTGGGTCCCTCCTGTCACTTTTTTTTTTTTTTTTTTTTTTTTTTTTTTTTTTACCGTCTTTTCATTAGTTCTGTTTCTTTGTGCATGTTTTTCTGAAGCCTTTCATTTCTCCATACTTGTTTGCCCACAATTTGTTATTTTAAGAGGCGAAAAAAAGATATCTTTCCTTTCCATATTAACATTCCCTCTTCCATTTGCTGTACATTTTTTTTCCAGGTTATGGTGTGGTCAGTGGGGTATCATTATCTACACTTAAATCCACTATATCTTGATGTGCATATATACATAATTTTTTATTTATTTTTTTTTTTTCTTATTTAATAACCATTACTAAATTCAATACCCAATTTTTGTTGATCACTCCCTTGTCTTTTCTTTGCTCATAATTTACTTAATAACTTCCCCCTCCATTGTCAGGTCCCCACCAATTGGCCACTTAAAAGAATATTTAAGTTCTATTATATTTTCACTCTTTCTTCTGACTCCCCTCTTACTTACCCCCTCTTACAAGTAGTCCCGGTATTTTTTGGTGACCACTTCCTGTCCAACAATGCCCACATTTGTGACCACTTCTCTTCTACCATCAATAACTGCTCTCCATTTCTTTATCAGATGACCCACTTCCTTTCCTCTATCCAGCCTACCCTCCTTCTTGATTATTGACAAATACAATATAAACTCTATGTTAATAGCCTATTAAAAGAAAAAATATTTCCCAAAAAAAGACAAAAAATGTCAAAATACACACTTGAGAGAACAAAAAAAATGTTTGTCGACTTGTTGGCAGTCTAGTTTGGACTGAGATTGATATTATGAATTTTTTTTATTATTTTTTATTTTATTTATTTACTTTTTAATTTTTTTTTTTTTTTTTAAACAAAAAAAAACCACAGAAGCAAAAAACAATGTTGTTGTGTGGGTAGTTGTGGCTGAGACATGAGTGTTAATTGAACTGCAGTGCTCGCCTTAGCACTCCCCCACAGCAAAGAATTGTGCCATCACAGTTAAAGGTTAAAGAATGAAAATAAAAGATGAAATAAACATATATATAAAAAAATTAAAAAAAAAAAAAAAAAGTAAAAAAATGACATTCAAGTCCAGTCAGCTGGAGAAGCAAACCTTACCCTCAGTAATGTTGAAAATCAGTCAAGGATGAGACCCCCCCCCCCTTCCAAAAAAACAAAAAAAATTAAAAAAGAAAAAAACACTGTGAGATGTGATGCTGTAAAGTTGTTATTGATAATGTTTCTGCAGTAGTGGAACAATATAAAAGATGTATGAACAAAAAAGAATTTCTTGAGATATTTATTATTTTTGCATGTATACCTCCTCACCACCGCCACCACCCGTTTATATTCATTGCTTCAGGAGGCAATCATGATCGACATAAAACAGTTGGCTGCAGACGATAGCTTAAGCTTAAAAATAGGATTATTTTTGTTTCAGCTTTGCACAATTGATAAGATGCCTGACTCATTGTCTTCTATATTAGATTTGATTTAATGTTTATTAAACTTCCAACAATTAATACAGGTTAATGTTGTTTACCGTTAATCAAGTTTAAACTTTAAAATAAATTCCACCAGAAGACAAACCTTGCATTTTCAGAAAGTTTTGTTAGGCACATCTGTTTCGATAATTTTATTATTTCTTTTCTGAACAAAACTGAAAAAAACTAGAAAATACACACATATGAGTGAATGGTTGAAAAGGTTTTCTGTCTAATCAAATGACCAAATGTCTATCTTGAGGGGAAGGGCTTTTTGGTGAGGACAAGAACTTTTCTTTGCTCTTCTATAGTGTTGATGACAAAATTAAGTGTAATTTCAGGATGTTGACACACATGGCGCATAGTTTTCTACAGAAATTCTTGAAATTTATTACGGCATCTCCCCCCCGAAAAGAAACCATCATGTGGCATTTGTCTGGGTGGAATCAAATTCTTGTCAAATACAAACATCCATTATTTACATTATTCAAACTATTGTCCTCATCTTTGTCATGTATTTATTATGTTTCAGCTATTGTGCACTCCAGCCTTCTTCAGGTGGTTGGAATGTCGAACTGAACCCTTTATCTCGATCACTGGGGTAGACTGTTCTAGTTCTACATGCCATAAAGGGTTCAGTTCGACATTCCAACCACTTGAAGAAGGTCAGAGTGTACAACGGCCGAAACATAATAAATATGGTGACAAAGATGAGGACAATAGTCCAAATAATGTAAATAGTGTACATAATACCTCATCTCAGAAATATAGACAGATACTGAAACATCCCATTGTTTTAAATTTCTGGCCCCAATTGTAGATGGACTATCAAGTTGACATGTTTGAAAAAAATAGTTGCTCGACAGGGACAATTCATTTTGTCAACTCTAGTTTCAAATGGATGAATTGATATGGAATAAAAGGTGTGGCTTTCTCTTTTTAAATAATTTACAGTAATGAAACTCTTTTTCCCTAGAATGTTTTTTCACAGTAAGGCTCACCCATAACAATGTCCAAGCGGCCCACTTGAGGTAGAAGGTTATATTAGAAGGGAATTTGTGCAGGTAGAATTGGAAGATAAGTCAACCCTAGCCTTGAACAGGTTAAGATTATAGTGATTGGGGAAACATCCTCTTGGGAGTCGATTCCAGAGAACAGTGGTTCATGGGAAGAAGCTGTTTGAGTGGAACTTCTCACCGATGGTATACAGAGGGTATGGGGGTTGTTTGCTACCATGTTATAGTGTCCTTGCCACGAAAGCTTGAATTGGCGGAACCAGGGAATGTAGTTTGTCTGAGCAGTTTCTGTGGAAGTAGCAATAGAGCAGCAAGAGGCTCATCACATCCCATCTGTGGGAGAGAGGCTGGATAATAATTTATCACCCACAAGGACTTGGAGATGCTTTTTGGGCTCTATCAAGTGAGAGTGAGGTCTGGGCAGCTCCCGCCAAATATGAGAACAGTACTCCATTTTTGGCCTGATCTGGCTCTTGTAGAGGATAGCAGGAGTCAGCTATTTACTGGAGTGGTACAGGGAACCGACCATTTTACCTGCATCCTTAGCAATTGATCATAAGAGTTCCATTTGATGTCAGGTGCAAGTTTGAGATCCAATCGTCTTGCAAGGAACAGTGTCTCCGCATGGGGACATCCATTCATCCTGATTGGTGGTAGTTGCAGCCTGAATTTAAGGATGGGTAGATATTTAATGAGTATTTAATAAAAGGTGTGTTTGGATTGTCCTGGGTGGGTTCTTTTTTGCCAAGAACAAAAAATTGCTATATCTCATCTCTCTCAAACTCAAAATGTAATTTGAGCACCTAAAGTCTCCTCAGCAGTGAATCTGCAAACATGCCTGGCCAAAAGCCTTATATGTTTAACTGCCGAATGTAAGATGTTTTGTTATAAAAATAAACTTCTAGAAAAATCATCACATCCTGTCTATTTGAAAACTCAAAAGATAACTTGCTCGCACAAAAAGCCTCCTCAACAGCCTCTCTGCTTGTTGACAAGGAAAAACCTGGTGTTTCCAAAAGCTTAAAAAAGGCTCACTATTCAATATACATGTTGCTTTAATCCTATTATAATTGTGCTTGCCCTAAAACATTAGTTTGCACAAACCTAATGCCTTGCCAATACCTCATAAACGGACTATTCCGTTTTGATCACGCGGAAAGAGGGGAAAGACACTACTTGGTTTCAGTGAGAAAATGAAAAAAAGAAGGGAAGATAGAGGAGAAGTGTTTAACATCTGTTTCCGTGAAATGGAAAAAGTTGTCAATTTTAAATCTTTTCATTTGTATCCCCTTACTTCTTAAAATAACAACCAGCATTCATATTTATGATTGTTATTGCAATATTTGTTAAAGTTGTTAAGCTCAAATATTTGAACTTAACAACTTAACGATGTGATAATGGAATTTCTCTGGGTATTTCATTGTCATAAAACACGCCACAAGTTTCTTGAATCATTAATTTAAGAATTAACTATTATGAAATAGGAAAACCATGAAATTTTCACAGGTTAAAAACATAAAAGTTAAGAGCTACAAAAATGAACATTGCAAGTGTTAATATATTAAACAGATTTGGCCTAATAGATTTTTAAAAACTGCTTTGTAATCACTTTTGTATTTCATATAAGCAGAAAGGATTGTCTCATCTTCTTTTCTCTCTCTTCTATTCTCTCTCTCTTCTATTTTTTCTCTCTCTCTGTCTCCTATTTCTCTCTCTCTCCTATTGTCTCTCTCTCTCCCTCTCTCCTATTGTCTCTCTCTCTCTCCTCTCTCCTATTGTCTCTCTCTCTCTCCTATTGTCTCTCTCTCTCTCTCTCTCCTATTGTCTCTCTCCCTCTCTCCTATTGTCTCTCTCCCTCTCTCCTATTCTCTCTCTCTCTCTCCTATTGTCTCTCTCTCTCTCTCCTATTGTCTCTCTCTCTCTCTCTCTCTCCCTCTCTCCTATTGTCTGTCTCTCTCTCTCTCTCTCCCTCTCTCCTATTGTCTGTCTCTCTCTCTCTCTCTCCTATTTTCACTAAATAATAATGCCAATGAAAATTTTGGAATTACCAAAAGTTTTACAAGGTTTACTCTTATTTAATTATTTATTTATTTATATATATATATCCCCCTTCCCTAAGCTATGAGTAAATAGCTTTCGGTGGCAACCAGTCTCTGAATTCAAAACCTGAGAAGAATCAATTAGGGGACCTTGTAGCACGCTATGTGCACCAGTTTTTTGTACTTGGTTCTTCACAAGCTTTCACCATTATAATCAAATTGAATTTAGATAATAATGACACAAGTGGGGGGGGGGAAATAGGGAAAAAAAAATGGCACAAAGCAAAAACATACAGGAAAAAAATGAAAGGCACCTTATTTTTTAGTAAATTCTAAATATATATATATATATATATATATATATATATATATATATATATATATATATATATATCAAACCAGTAACTCTCTAATCAGGTGCCACTTGACTCCTGGTTCAGTTGTCATCAGTGGCTCATTCACAATTCCATCATGAAAGTTATAGCAAATAATAAAGGAAAAGAGATTTGCTTCCAAGTGTACATGGATACAAAACAGATTGCAAGATAAACTACTATCAGATGAGGATGTGTTAAGAAAACTTCTTTTTATAAAGGTACCATCACCACCAGTTTTGATATGACTGATCCTGTACCAGCTAAAAACCACAACCTCACTCCTCCTCATGCAGCTATTGCATCCACAAAATGCATCAACAGGAAGAGAAAAGCAGTAGAAACAGATCAACCAAGCCAGATTTATAGCAATAACCTGGATATGGCTTACCAGCTGAGTCAAAGGCATTACTTCCGAGTGAGGACATCATAAAAAGAACTTTGTGTAATTTAATTTACTAAATAGATAATGTGTATTCCATGTTTTTGCTTTGTGCAATTTTTTCCTATTTTCACACTTGTGCCATTGTTAGTGTGCACCAATCAAATCTTGTGTGGCTAGTCTTTGTTCAGGTCTAAGAACTAAGTTGCTGTACTGTCATACGTCAAAAACTATGGTAGAGTCCAGTATACATACACACACACTTATTTTTATATACCAATATTTTGATTTAAGTAGATTCTGTGCTTATTTATTAAATAGTATATTTATTTTTTGTCTACCAGCCTGAATATTCAAGAAATCTTATTGCAGAACTCGACCATGTGTCCCTCTTAGCAGGAGAAATATCATTAGATATTATGTTTCAGTGTGTCGATGATCAAGCAAAGTTGAATAGTGCCTTATAAATCAAATATTTCTCTAAATCTCTTCATATCTGGTCAGTTTCTATAAAGAAGTGATTTCTTTTTTCTTTTCTTTTTGTTTTAAATCTGAAGGATTTTATGATTTAAATAATGTTTTTAGTGGATACTTATATTTGAATAGCATATCAGATATAATGAGGTTCAAGTCCTGACGGAGAGTGTATATTTTTTAATAAGATTTCTTGAATATTCAGTCTGGTAGACAAAAATAAATATATTGTTTAATAAACAAACATCTACTCAAAGAAGACTAGTAGTAAAAAAAGAAAAAAAAATTATATATATATATATATATATATATATATATACACACACACACACACTGCAATGGATAAATTTTCTAAATTGCACAAAAATATCTTGAAAAACTAAAGAGTAAATTTATACAATAAAATTTCAATTGGCTTCAACCACAGCCTTCAGATGATTTTGGAATCTCCTGCAACTCTTTTGGAAAGTCTCCTTGTTTAAGTTGGTGAATGCTACCATAATCCTTGCCTTCAGTTCATCTTTGGTATCAAATGAAGTTTTGTTAGTCTCTTGCTCAACTGTGCCCTATACATAATCAAAAGGATTGCAGTTTGGGGAGTTAGATGACCAGATGTAAGGGGTGATGTAGTCGCAGAAATTGTCTGACAGCCATGACTGGACTCTCCTGCTTGTGTGGCATGATACAGTGTCCTATCACCACCCTCTTGGCCCAGAGCAGCACTCCTTCCTCAAAGCACTTGATGTAGGTCTTCATGTTGAGTCTTAGGTCCTGTGGGAAGATAAATGGAGGTATAATGTCACCATCACTAGTGATCACTCCAAACACCTTCATAATCACCATTAGACTCTGCCAACTCTTTCTGAATTCTCTGCACTGTTCTCATATTAACACCCAAATACTCTAAAATGTTTGTATTGGAGCTTCCAGTGCAAATGACAAGTACAGGATTTGCTCAAGTCAGCTGTGGAGAAACCTGAGCAGACTCCAAACGTCACAAAGTCCAATGTCATGTGAAGATCTGCAAAGGACAAATCCATTGAGATATCAAAATTGGATGATGAGCTGGATGCTAAACTAGATGAACTGAAAAAATGTTGACATTGTCTTCTGTGCCATGTGCAACAAAAGTCATGAGTAGTAGCGGTAGCTAAAATGTGTAGTCTTTTTGTGAACATTTTTATTTGTAGTTCATTAAAACCATTATACTTAACTTCACAGGAAATATGCAGCAGTTAAGAATTTTTGTGACATTCGCAAACCATGAGTCGTCTTGATAGCTGAAATGTGTAGCATTAAGAATTAAAGTGTAATTCAAAAGTTTCAAGTGTAGAAAAATTTAAAACACGTCAAATGCTATACAAAATGTGTAACATAACCAGGTCTGCATTCAGCTGTGTTTTAGTTTTCAACACTTGGATTTCTTCACTGCTTTCAACTGATCCATGACATGATTTGGAGCCAACTGTAGCTTTTCTTTGAACATCTCATCTATCAAACTATTAAAAGATAAATCACGAAGTTTGTGTTTTTGAAATTGATGACCATTCACACGTTTCAGTTTTGAAACTTCTTAAAATAGTCCTGGAATTTTTTTTTTAACTGATCTGTGGGAACCCTGCAAGCAGTATACCAAACCATTTCCAAATTTCTGTTGGAGTAAAGTATTTCTCACAGATGGTCCCCAACTGACCCCACTATACTGTGCAATTGACAAAATCAAAAACCATACACATGTGCGGAATGAAAAATATAAAATGGCGATAACTTACCCATCGTACCTTGTACATATATGTATGTGATATATATATATATATATATATATATATATATATACAAAAGGTGCAGCATGATTACCTCCCACATAATGGTAAAACAGTGGCACACGTGTCTTCATTGAGCTAATGGTTTACTATTATTTGGGAGGTATTTCTACTGCCCCTCGTATGTGTGTGTGTGTTTTTTTTTGTTTGTTGTTTTTATACTCTGTATAAAATGAGTAATTATCCAAGTTACATGAAGGTAGTGGTTATTTGAAATGTAAAGCATGCAACAAAAACCAAGTTAAATTTTCTGTTAAATTTATTTTTAAGCAATCATCATTTAACCTGGTTAGTGACCACTTGGGAATATCAGGTGTAAAAAGCTTGAATGTACAGCTAGTGGAATGGATAATGGTTGGAAATTGGAGAGCCCAGTTCTAATTCTATTCATTTTTGTTACATTCATTTATGCATAGTCTTGGGAAATGGTATTAATCCGCTTTTTCTCCAGAGGGTATGGTTAATTAGTAGGACTAGTATCACTAAATCACTATCATCTCCAAAACCTCTTACAATCTAATAATATTTTCTAGCTTTAAATAATGTTAAAAAAACAATTTTTAACAGTTCTTGAAAATTAATTAAGAAATTAAAAGTCAAAGTATTAGTTCCTGAATATTGAAAAATCTGTTGAAATATGTTAAGAGGTACTCTTTTATTTTCCCCCGACCCTCTCCTTTGTTGCACAATGCAATCAAGAGTTTCAAGACTTTATGGCATGGAATTTACTGTTTTGTATGAAGTTCTGTCCGAATGGTGATTTGGACGACCCGACAAGAGGAAGTCTTGCAACCGTCTTTCTCATCAGGATCTTATCTGATTCTTTGAGCATCAGCTCAAGATGAAGATTAGAACTGGTAGAAAACGCTTGGTTTCGCCAGACTTTAGCGAAAGATGGGTGAACGGGGATAGCCTGAATTTTATCTTTTAGGTCTAGCTATTTCACATCAGAGTGGTTTCCTGTGGAGCCTACCCCCCTGGTTAGGCTAGACAAACTTTGTGTAACTAGTTAATGTGAGTAAATGTTGTTCCCGGCTACCTCTTTGGTTATGATCCAAGTTGAGATTCCCAACCTCCCCAGTTTGTTTTTAGCCTCCCTTTCATCTCAATTGGGTCAGCTTTATTTATTCCCCATGTCCGTATATATTTTCTCCTTTGCCTTTCCCTTAGCGAGAGAGCCTCTTGATTCCGTCGTAGAGCAAAATACAACGGCCTCCCTTTTTTGAGGGTTGGACGTGTCCTACTAACATCAGTTATATTTATTTTACTTTGTTTTGATATTTAGTTTGTTTTGGGGGTTCATCCCCTCCCCTCTCATTGTAAATAATCCATAAAATTTTATGCCTAAATTTTTATTATCATCCAATTTTTATATCACGGGGTGCGTTGTGTAGGTCCCCCTGAGAGGATGCGGTATTATGGTATACGGAGGATTGATTGGTGACTGATGAGTTTTTATGGTGAATGGGTCGTGAATCGATAAGATAGTGAAGACCAGCCTTAACTCATTTTCCCCCTTATCGGCCTTGTGCCATAATTGTGTTTATGTACAGTAAATATCGACCATACTGATAGCAGATCCCTGAAGTTCACGCAATCAGAAAGAAACTACCTAGGTGCTTTACAACGATTGTCCTACTTGCTGGGCTATGAAAATAAACTTAGCATAAAAATAATTGCACAAGCTTTCCATGGTCTTAATCGGCAGTAAAGAGATAGATCCCAAAAACCAGAACATCCTCTGGTTTGCCAAACTCCCCCCCGCCATTATTGTGGGTGGGTGTGACCTAATTTCTAAAATTTGGCCAAATGAAAGAAATCTCTGGAATCACTTTTTAATTGAGACAAAATCTTTTCAGTACAGACAGACAGAGAGAGAGAGAAAAAATATATATATATAGTGTGTGTGTGTGTGTGTGTGTATA